AGAGCCGTGCAGCTGTTCATTCGGAGTATTGGTCAGCATTTGATCATTACAAAGCATTATCTCACGCCTTGTCGTTTTCTTGTTTCGGACATGATGCAGATATGAATGTGTAAAAAAAAAAAAAAGGAAAAGAAAAACAGAGAGGTGATTGAATGGTACCGCCAAGACTGAGGTACCTATCTCCTCCCCCGCACTGCACTATCTATGCTTAAGGTAGTGTCAGGAACACCCACAACCATGCCTCTTTGCGCTCAGTAATCAACCGCATGACGCCAGGAAGATAGCACGCAATCGCCCTACAGCATGACGAATGGGCAATTCCTCCAAAATATGCCCCCAAAGCCCTCTCTGTTCGTCCGTTTAAGCTTCTGGGGCAGCGGCGACGGCAGTGGCCGATTGGCCATGGTGACGTTGACAGGAGATCAATCCCTCCCAGCCCGCGAACTCAATCTCGCGTCAAATGTCGACCCCAGATTTACCCCTGAGATGGCGTGTTGGTGCATTAATCTCGGTTCATCTCAGTTCTCGTCGCGAATGTCTAACCTTTGGTGAAGAGCAACATCGTGGACTTCATCGATTAGCAGCCCCATTAAACACCCCTGTTTCCCCCATTCGCACCACATAACACAATGTACATGGATCTGACCTGGTCCGCAAAGGCTCGGATGCAAATCCGCCCGAGCCGCCTGCAATGCTGATTGCTGAATTCCCCGCCAGCAGCGACTCGGACCTCGTGCGGCGGAGGAAACACCACAGCAGCGTATTTTCCATTTGTCAGCGCCCACCGGGAGCTCGTGTTCCCCGGCAGCAACTTGCTGCCCTTCGAACCACAGCAAGCAGCGACGACAGAGATACGACACGGTCGGAAGTCGCAGTGTACCTCGCGCCGCTGCTTGATTGTACCTCAGGTACCTCAGTCATTGGGCAGGGACCAGGCTGGGGGCAAGCAAGCAAGTCCCATTGAACAACAACAGCAGCAGGAAGCAAACAGCCACCAACAACAACGGGCCACAACCTGCCCAGTGAGTGAGCACGGAAACCAGTGTTTCCCTCCCTTGTCTGTCCACGGTCATCCAATGTCTCTTTCTCTGCCTGCTTTCTCTGCTCTCTGTCCAACCCGCAGTGGCGCATTAGTCAACCAGACCCGCCCGTCGAACTTGACAGAAACGCCCGATCACCACCTCCTGGTTCCCACCCCTAGTTTGAGGACAGGTGGAAGGTTGCATCCTGTGTCCGTATCTGCTCCAGCTTTCCAGAGCCTGCTTCCAGCGTCTGTGTGACAAACATATAAATCCTTCGCCGTGACCCGTGACTCCATTTACTTCCCGCTCGACAAGTCCACCTCCAAGCATAGACCTCTTCATCTTTCGATCAACGACAACAATACCAACTCTCTTCCACACTCCACCAACCAACTTAAACCGCCAAAATGACCTACACGCTCTACGACGCCTCCGTTCCCCTCCTCACCGCGGGCCTCAACACCCTGCTCAACCTCCTCAACAAGGCCGAGGCCTACGCCGCCGAGAAGGGCATCGACGTCAAGACGCTGCTCGAGGCCAAGCTGGCCGAGGACATGTTCCCCTTCACCTTCCAGTACCACGTCGCCACCGACAGCGCGATGAAGATCATCGCCCGCGTGCAGGGCACCGACCCCGAGGCCTTTGAGAACAAGTTCGACAGCGTCGCCGACCTGCGCGCCCGCGTCGAGCACACGCTCGCCCTCGTCAAGGCCGCCGACCCCAAGACGTTCGAGGCCCGCACCGACGCCCTCGTGCCCCTCGGCCTCGGCTTCGGCAAGGGCGAGATGCAGATCCCCGCCCGCGACTACCTCGTCGCCTACGGCATGCCCAACTTCTTCTTCCACATCCAGGCCGCCTACAGCATCCTGCGCAAGGAGGGCGTCCCCCTCGGCAAGGTCGACTACCTCCAGCCCTTCATGGGCCCTCTCGTTGAGAAGCACCAGAAGGCGCAGCAGTAAACACGTTTCAGCAGTATAGAGAAGGTGATGGTGTGAGGAGGAATTCAAACGTCACAAGATGGATGACGCCCGGCATCATGACAATGGCCGGGATTGAGCACGATCGGATAGGAAAAGTTGTCAATTGAAAGTCAATAATTACGCGTTTTGCCATGTTTTTTTCTTGTGTGAGACAGTGGATGGAGCATTGCAGCTTTGCACATTGACTGCCACGCGTGAAACAGCTATTGATTTGATTTAGGGATTATCTCATGGGCTCTCAGTAGAAACAACACGATGTCGCCAGATCCAGATGCTTCTTTTCCCCTCCATGACCCCTCCACGACCCCTCATTCCCTCACTGAGGGGCTCAGGGACCGCTGACTAACCACAGCAAGCCTCCACTCTGCTCCGCTCCTCACCAATGGGATGAAGCCATCTCCATCATCGGAGAACAATCCGAACGGCCGCCGCCGATACCGATAGGCGATAAGCTGCGAGGACAGGTCCCTGCACGACTGATTGATTTCCCCTCGCTAACGTAACCAAGCAAACATATATCGAGCTTTTTTCTACATATGTCAACGCGAAGTGCAGACTTCCAATGGATGCATGAGTTCTTCCTAGTGTAGAATGCCGTTCTGCGGACAAAGCGTTTATTCTAGCATTGGACATGAAGTCAGCAGGCCTGGCAGCAGTGTAATTATCCCGTGCCTGTCCGGCTGCTGTAACACACGGCGTCAACTCGCTCAGTGCAAGCAGAAAACATCCGACATGGAGCCGATGTCCCTTGACGTAGCGTGTTATAGATTTATTCATATTCGGTCTCTTCTAACCGATGGGTAACAGCAGGCAAGATATGTGGAATGGAAGAAGCGGCGGTTGCGTAGCAACAGCGCCCACCCGAACTCATTTTTACGTTTCGGCTTTACTCCAGTGGATAGACTTTGTTCCTGCTTCAGAAAGTAGGGGTCCTTTCAACGGATTGAGATTCGGCAATTGCATAGTGCTGAAATATTCCAGCTTAAACCAACAGTGCCCTCTTGGCTAGAATAGTCAAGGCGTACGACGAACAGCCCCTGAAGGCCCGAGCCCAACAGTTTCGTTCCCAAATCAGCAGTCAGGCAGCCACGAGGCGATGGCGTTTCTGGGAATTAAGCTCAGCTAGTTCTCCAGACTAACCGGATGCGTTTTCCTCCTCCCCATTTGTCGATGCTCACTTCGACTGTTGGTAGGTTCATGAATGTTGGGCATTTTGTTTTTGGGCAATGTGAATTATGGCAATGATGACGGTTTCCAACTTTGCTAAATGTAAACAGCAAAATGAACATCTACAGTCCACGTCTTGGTCAGTTCTGGTCAGCAAAACTTGCGAAGCCCGCTAGTCATCTCTGCAAGCACGGCATGGCTTAAGGAGCAAACGATCACCTGAATCAATCCTTGTAAGCCGCAGAGGCATAGTTGCATCTTTTTGCTCGTTGCCTCTAGTAAGCAGTAAATGTGGTCGGATATACCTACCACCCATCAGAGCGTCGACGTACACCTTTTGAGGTTGTTCTCAGTCATAGCGAAATTCTCCAAGGCAGATGATTTTCAAGTCATATACCAGAATTGATAAATACTGCCGTCCTCCTCCGATTGATACAAACATCCACAACCATTACCACTCATTCTCGTTCCTCAGCCGTGCTCATTTACATACAACGGAACTTCAATTCCATCGCTTCAAGTCAGATCCTGTCAATCATTCGTTTTCGTCGAGTCTCACATTCAATATGAAGTTCTCCATTCCCGTCGTCCTGTTCACGGCTGGTGCTGTTGCTGCGCCCTCCTCTGTCACGCTGACCGAGCGACAGCTCAGCGCGCTGACGCAAGTCCTCACCCCGGTTCTCCAAGGTCTTCAGTCCTTCGACGTCACCCTCAACGCCTACACTGGAGGGCCTGGTCAGGAGCTACTCAGTGTCGCCAACAATGTGATCGCGGGAGTCCGCGCTGCCGCCAACGCCGTCGCCCCCATCCAGCCGGTGTCTGAGGCTGAGGCTGGTGGTTTCGCCGGATTGGGCCAGCAGCTTGACATCGCCGGCTACAAGTTCATTGCCGATCTCAACGCCCAGATTCCGGTGTTTGCCCAGAGTGGCATCTGCCCCGAGACTCTCAATTGGGTCACCCAAGTTGGTACGTGACTAGGGCGGGCTCCTTCTGTTGTACGCGAGGGAGATAGCTAACACTATACAGGAGATGGAGTTCTTGATCTGAAGACGGCCGTGTTCAGCAAGTTTCCCAACAATGGTGGGGATGCAAATGATGTTGAGGAGTTCAGGAAGCTCTTTTCCGCTGTTGAACAGCGACTGAAGGAATGCTCTGCTCCACCTTCGGCGGACTGTAGTGCGTATTGCGTCAAGGACCATCACGATTGGAACAAGGGCGAGGATAAGAAGGGCGAGAAGGGTGAAAAGGGGAAGAAGGGTGCCAAGGATGATTGCAAGAAGAAGTACTAGGTCGTAGTGGGTAACTACCAAGGGAGTATGGTATTTTAGTCAGGATAGTAGAGTAGAGAAAAACATATATCTTGGCTAGCCTGTGTATGTCAAAGTGAAGATTGTTGCAACTGTAAATAACGCAGCTGTGCTGAACTAGTCTATCAGATTATAAACAGAATACATACGTAGATTTAATATGTGAAGAGGGTATGAAACACATCTAAGTGGTAACAGAATGCCAAATTGCTTAAAGGCGGTAAAAAGAAAAAAGGAAAAAATAAACCCAGCTTCAACTCTAGGCCAAAGATCACTGTATCCTCAATGTGTGTCTGGAGTGTTAGGCGCTGTGGAGTCGTTATTGGGGGCGGCATCACCCCGCCTCCACCATCGGACCCTTCCCTCTTTTTTTTATCGGAATTTTCCAAGCCCCGCGGCGGCATCACCAGCCACACACCGGAACCTCAACTCATATCGGCACTCAAACTCACTCACATTCACCATCACTATCGCACTCACTTTCACTCTCATCACCCTCAGCCTGAACTAAGGCCACACTCACAATGTCCGCCGATCTCAGCGAGGCCGAGGCCCTCGCAACCCCCGAGTTCTGGAACGAGCGCTACACAAAGTCAGACGGCTCCAACCCAACCCACGAATGGTTCCGCACCTTCGCCGCCCTGGAGCCGTACTTCCAGAAACACCTCTTCACACAACGAAGCCCTGAGACGTCGCCGCGCATCATGCACCTCGGCTCAGGCGACAGCGTACGTCTCTTCCCCCACACCCCGCGCGTAATCCCGCTCACATTCACAGACAATCCCCGCCGACCTCTCGTCCCGCGGCTACAAGAACCAGCTCTGCCTCGACTTCTCCCAGGTCGTCGTCGACCTCATGAAGGCCCGCCACGAGCCCCTCGGCGGCATCGAGTGGCGCTGGGCCGACGTCCGCGACATGCCCGACGCCGCGCCCACCCGCTCCGTCGACGTCGCCTTCGACAAGGGCACCATGGACGCCATGATCCACGGCTCGCCCTGGTCGCCGCCCGCCGACGTCAGGGACAACACCGGCCGCTACCTGCGCGAGGTCCACCGCGCACTCAAGGACGACGGCGTGTTTCTCTACATCACCTACCGCCAGCCGCATTTCATGAAGCCGCTGTTGAACTCCGAGGGGCTGTGGGATCTTGAGATGGATGTGTTGTCGGGTGGCGAGAGCGCGTTTGATTATTACGGATTCGTTCTGAGGAAGAAGGCTCAGGCATGAGATGTGGTTGTTGCTTTTAGAGAACGAGAGAACGGATAGACAAAACTGCATGGACGGTGTTTGGTTTGCTTAAGATAGATAGACGTGTTGAAAGATCACGAGACGGGGACGCTACTGTCATTATGAACAATTGATATACAAGGACGATGTCATTCCCATAGACTTCAAATGTACAATTATTATACCCCTTCAAGCACCATCTTCATCCTCAGAAGTCCATGTACTCGTTGGCCCGCTTCAGCAAGGCCCTCTCTCCCTCGCCCTCCCCGGCAACCTGCAGAGCCTCAAGACCCATCGCCCTCCGCGCCTCTGGTGCGACGATGGCATCCTCGCCAGGTCTGCCCACATGATCTCTCTCCCCCTTGCCGCCCGGGAAGTCTGGCCCAGGCAGCCCCTCCAAGAACGCCTCCCTCTGCCTCTTCAGATACCACACGTTCTGGTCCGTGAGGGGGCACACGGGGATGTACAACACACTGGAATCCCCCTTGCCCTCGTGCACCATGTCAACAGCGTGGATCTGATCCGCATGCCACGCCACAAAGTCGCCCGGCTTGATCTTAGGCATATGCACCATCGTCCGCCCCAGCTCCAGATGCGGGTGCAGCTTGCAGTTCAACTCCTGGCAGTGTCCCGCCGTCGCCCCGTGCAACTCCGAACTCATGCCCTCGCCCGCCGTAAACACCCAGTTCTCCTCCCTCAGGAACTCCGCCCCGGTGACATCCTCCCGCAGGGGCTGGAAGAACGGCCGGAGCAGGAGGTACGCCGTCGTGTGCTTCACCAGCGGGTTCACCAACAACGTCCCCTCCCGCGGCCCGGCGGTGCTCATGCTCAGCCACCCCTGAAACATGCGGAACATGCTGCACGCCCCGGCGCCGTTGTACAGGTCCTGCACGGCGTGCACGCGCGCGCTGACCTCCCACGGGTCGTACCCCTCCCAGTCGCCGCGGAAGATGGCGTCGTACGTCCCCGTCTTGCCGTACCCGTCGCGCTCCCAGCGCTCCAGCGACCCGCCGTCGATGTGCGGGCCGAGGGCGAACGTCGCGTCGCCGGGCTGGCGGATGCGCAGGCGGTCCGCGTATGTCAGCGGCTGGAGCGAGATGGCCGCCGACGGGGACTTGTTCCAGAGATCGCGCATGAGCGCCGTCTGGACCTTGAGCAGGTTCGGGTGGCCGCGGGCTTTGAGCTGCGGGAGGGACCAGTACAGCTCGTAGACTTGCGGGTTGTCGGCAGGGAAGGCTGCGCTCGTGTTAGTCGTCATGTAGATTCCATCAGAGACAGCTGAGAGAACACATACCTTTTGTCGACGGGTTTTTGCGGACGTACGCCTCCACCTCTTCCTTGTATCCCCGTGCCTCCTTCTCGTCCACGACACCGCGGACAACCACCGCGCCGCGCTTCTTCATCTCGTCTTTGAGGTGCTCGATGTCGCTGTCCAGGTTTGAAAATTCGATGCTTGGGATGATGGCAGGGCCCTTGGCCGCGACGGTCTCGTTTTCTTCCCTCAGTGATTTCAACAATCTGGACCACGACTTGACCACGGCGTCCTCATGTCCGGCCACCAGGTTCTGCTTGAGGGTACGGAACCGCTCTGGTAACGGTTCCCGCGTCTCTCCGGAGAGAGAGACAAAGACGGACGAGATATCGCCCTCCTTCTTTGGTGCGTGTGCGGCTGCTGCGCCCATCATGACGGTGCGCCGTTGTAAGCATGTTGAAGGAAGCCTAGTCCGCGCGTTCCGAGAAAGACTTAGGAGGCGAGACATGGTGGAAAAGTGGCAACAAAAATCGCTGGCTTTTTTAATGGTGAAAGAATATGGCTATTGCTGTGTAAGTCGCCCATGCACAGGAGATACCCAATACTCGAGGCCACACAATGATACGACAAGAAGTAAACAAGACACAGTCGATGACTGTTCAAACAAGCCAATGCTGTCAATTTCCGCCATCAACATCAAAGTCGTCGAGCTTCTCTTATACCTACGTGACCCAGCACCCGATCCAGTGCGACACTCCGCACCGTCGGCTTTTCCCAAAGCGGAAGCCCGACAGACTCCGCCCGGGCTCGAAAACGCGGGGCCCCGCCCGACAGCAGGGCCGCATATGACACGCAGGACACCTTACCTGCGTGCATCCATGCGTACATCCCTTCTGCCGGATCCTGACCGAGGTGCTGTCGTCGAATAGTTGCGGAGCATTTGGTCATTGGTGGCTGTCTAGGGAAGTCCGACGACGGGGGGGCGAATCCATCGGCTGAAGCTTCGGATTGCCATACTAAGTAGAGGTCAGTCAGGTTTGCTAACTCAAATTCTCGCAGACAATCCACACACGTTTCACGAGCAGTGCGAGCATCTAATGCCGTGGAGACAATGCTGGCAGGCGTAATGATCCATATTAAAGTATCCCAAAAGGCGGCCGTTCTCCTCAAACTCCCCCAGATCCCCAGCTTCCACCATACGTTGCTGGTCTGACAGATGCACAAAACAAGGGCGCAACGAAAGGTTATCCCGCTCCAGTTCTCCGGGCTCTAGTGATACAAAGGGTGAAATAGTACAAAAGAAACTTGGTTGGTTCGTGATTCGCCTCCGCCGCCTCACTCCATGGCCCCGTTGGCCCGGCGGATCCGCGCCACCTCGCTTTGCAGCGCGCGGTTCTCCGACTCTAACCCGCCGAGTCTCTGTCTCGCGGCGCTGCGATCTTGTGACCGTCCCTCGCGTTCCGCCTTGAGCTTGTTCTCCAAGTCGCGCAGCTTGAAGATCCATCGGTTGTCGGTGGTGACATCCCGCTCCGCCAACGCTGTCTCAAACGGATTATGGTTCGTCGAGCCTGGCGTTGTCACCGTGTGGCTGGATGCGCTGCGCGTCATTGTCGACGTACGCTCGCCCTTGCGCGGCTTCCGTTCTCGGTCGCGAGGTCCGGTGGGAATGGACGGAGAGGGGCTCCCGCTTACAGGGTCCGCGGCAGCGGCGTTGGGGTCGTTGTTGGCTGAATACGCGGCCCGGCTTCTAACATCTTGCGCTGTTCGAAGTGTCGCATTTTCCACCTTGAGCTGACGGTATGCGTCTTCAAGCCGCGCCATTCTGGCCTGCTCGTAAGCGCCAAGAGTCCCGGACGCCATGCCGTTGCGGACAATCGTCTCGAGCCTTTCCAGCTTCTTGTTTTTCGTCTCGAGGTTTGTCTCCAGGGTCTGGTACTCGCGCCAGAGATCTCTCTCCACACCCTTGATGCGGGAGGAGAACCCGCCAATCATGCCCTCGATCGTCTTCACTGCGAACAAGAGGTTCTTGCTGAAGCCTGGAAGCATCGTGGCAACCGCCTCCAGTGACGGCAGCGCTCGGCCGTTGATGAGACTGTTGTCGTGGGCCCAGTCTGTGCCGCAAAGCGCGGAGAGGCGTGTCCACAAAACCAACAGCAAGTTGTTGCGTTCCGTCAGCTGATCCTTGAACGTCGACTCCAGCTGGGCAATCCTCTTCTTGTCCTGTGTGCGTGTGGATTCGAGTTCCGAGATCCGGAGGTCCTGCGTGCTGACGGTCCTAGTGACGTGCTGGTGTGTCTTTCTGAACGTCTCGAATTGGTTCTTCGTAGTGCTGTGTGCCTGAATCTCCTTCTCGAGCTCGACCGCGAGTTTGCGCGATTCCAAGCCGTGCGACTCCAGCAGAGCGTCACGCTGCTTGATGATGCGATCCTTCTCCACCAACGATGCCTTGGTCGTGTCCAGTTCGCGGACGGTGTTCTCCAGCTCTCGCTGAAGCTTTGCAATCGACTGCTCCTGTTAGCGTGCGCATCAGTATGTCCAGATCCCTTGCTCACCTTGAGGAGACTGGAGCGCGTCCCGTTAAGGTCGCCCAGTGCCTCCCTGAGATTGTTCTCCAGCTCCATGAGCCGCTCCTTCCACTCGGTGGCTTCGACTTCGCGAGAGGTAAGATTCTTACGCAACCTACGCGCTTCGTCCTTGGCCGCTGACATCTCGCGATTGAGATCGTTGACAAACTGCTGCACCTCTTCCTTCTCCTTGTTGGCCACAATCTCACGTTGCCGACGCTCCGTCGCAAGGCGCTGCTCCAGCTCCTTGATTCGATCACGCTCATCACGCAGACTCTGCTCGGTGTTGGCGAGTGCTGCCTCGAGGTCGCCGATGCGAATCTTGTCGCCCTCTTGCTCTTCTCGCAGGAAGGCAATCTCGCCCTGGCTGGACTCTTGTTGCACACTCAGCCGTTGGGCCTTGTCGTTCGACTCGAGCAGCTTGGCCTCCAGTTCCTCCGATTCCTTATTAGCGTCCGCGAGTTCTTGCTCCAGCTGCTGAATCCTGCGGATCTTAGCCGCCTGGTCGTCCTCGAGCCGTACGAGTGCCTCGCTCATCTTCCGCATTTCCTCCTGCAGAGCGTCAAAGTTCTCTGTCCTGTCGTTCAGCTCCAGCTTGAGCCTCTCGATCTCATTCGAATGCTGATCGGCTTCGCCCTCGAGCGCGTCAATCTCCTCCTGTGCCTCTTTCCGTAGCGACTCAAACTCCGTCTCCATGTCGGCTTGCTCTCTCAGCGCCTCGTCCCTCTCTGCCTGTAATGCCACCAAGTCGTTCATGGCGTTGTCAAGATCTTCTTGGAGGGCCACAGCTATGTCTTCTGCCTGCCGCTTGGCGTCGATTGCGGTTTCAAAGTCGTTCATGCATCCCTCGAGTTCACGCTGGAGCTCCTGGTTTTGGAGCTTGAGCTCGTTGATTTTGTCGCGGGTTTCAGCAAGCTTGCTCTCCAGCTCCTCGCGCTCGAGCTCGTCGATTTCCGTCATTTGAGTTCTGCCGGCACTGACACGGGACATCGACCTGTGGTGTGCGCCAGCTCGCGATGCAGACCGCTCCAGGAGCGAGTCGATTGTCGACGGCGCTGGACCGCCGCGTCTCTGAGCCATCTTCAGGTCCTCGATCTCCTGGTATAGACGCTCCTTCTCGCGGTTTCGGGATGTAAGCATGGACGTCTGCGCTCCCACCTCGCGCCGCAGCTCGGCGTTTTCATGTCGCAACTGCTCGCTCTCCCTACGAAGCTCGTCCACCAGCGTGCTAGCAGCACTGAACCCGCCGTTCGTTTCGATGTCGCCCGACAGTCCCGAGACAGGCCGGCTTGGTGATGTCTGCCGTTGCTTTTTCGTAATGTTGTAAATGTTGGTCGTATGATGCAGGCCACCGTGGGCGCTGGACATCTCTTGCTTGAGGCGGAAAATCTCATCGCGTAGCTTGCGATTGTCCTCGTCAGACTGTTCCCGACGTGCGGTTTCCTGTTCGAGAAGATCCTTCCACACATCCGCCTCCTCCTGGCTTCCGAGGTTACCACCTGACCTCTCACCCAATGACTTGACCACCTCGGCGAGTTTGCGCTTCTCGGCCTCCTTGGACATGCTCTCTTTCCTGAGCCTCTCGAACTCGGTCTCGTAGGCTTCCATGCGCTCTCTCAGGTACAGAAGCTCCTCTTCACGCTCTTGGGCGTCTTGGTCGGACGAGTCGTTCGATGATCCGCCACTCCTCGCCGTACCGGGTCGCTCGTGGTCGTCCTTGAGCTGCTTTTCCAGCTCCTTGACCTTCTTCCGCAGCGCCTTGTTGTCGCGCTGGATGACGGCCAGGCTTGTCTTGAGCTCCACATTCTCCGAGATCATCTCCTTAACACCCTCTTCGGAGAGCTTGTCAAGTCGGTCACTCAAGAACATGACTTTGAGCTTCAGGTCAAAGTTCTCCTTGGACAGCCGTTCGATGGTGCTGCTCTGCTCCTTCAGCGTCAGGTTCTTACCCGACCGCGTGGAGGCGCCGAGCGGTGCTTCCGAGGGCTTGCGAGGCGTGACGAAGCCACTCTTAGATCTGTACTCCTGCGCCAGCGACTCGGGCACCTGCACATTCCTAACATGGCGGGCGATCACTGTGTCGGTTGGGGCAGTCAAATTTTCCTTGGATGGTTTCGGGGTGGCGAGGAGATCTTCGTTCCTGTTCGGTCGACGAGGGGTGAATCCGGTCTCGACCTCGTCGAGTGTCTCCAGCTGGCTTGGCAGAGACTCAGGGTCGTCCATGCCTGAAACCATGCTGCCGATGCTGACTGATCGTGACAGGATGCTGCTAAGGCTGCGGGGCAGGCTCGTGGTTGTGGCAGCGCCGCCGGATTGGAGGGCGAAATCAACCCCGAGATTGGCCGTAGGCGGATCGCTTTCGAGATCGTCGTGCGAGTCGGGGTTGGTGACGAAGGAAGAAACGGAAGATCTCTGGCTGGCGCCGCGGCTTCGAAGGTACTTGGGCCGTGTGCCGTAGCGCAGAGCGTGTCCTGGCGTGCTGCCGGCGTCTACGGAGCCGCCGCGCAGGCTACCGTCAGATCGCTTGCTCCGTAACGTCGTGGAAGTGGACTCGGCCTCTGATCCCGCGTGAGTATGCGAGCGGTCTTCGTCCATGTCTTCGGTGGCGGATGGCTCCTGTGGTTGCTTGTCTGTCCGGTTGCTTGCGCTGGACAGCGCCCGCGAAATGGTTCGTGCGGCGGCTGCTGCGGCTGGAGATGACGACATTTGCTCGAGAGAGGAGGTCGTGTTGGAGATGTCGACGGAGGCAGAATCCTGTGGCTTTAGCTCGGTGAAGTCCCCAATTCCTGACTTGTCGGCGGGTTGGGCGCCGGATCTGGGGCTGGGACTAGGACTCGTGGGGGGCTGGTTGCGAGCGGCAGACTTGGTGGAGGCAGCGCCGTCAAACAGATATGTGTCGTCGGCGCCCTCGTGGGTTATCGTGGGTATGGGAGAGAGGCGGGAGACGAAGCTGGACTCGACGTCCTGCAAGTGGGCTCGGACTGCGGATTCAGCGATAGAGTCGCCATGGCGGGAATCGTCGTAGGCAGGACCCTCGACGAAGCTGCTGTCGAGGGAGGCGTTGGTCTGTGGCCGAGGGGGAGGCAACATGGAGTCGTTTGGGGGTTTGCGGTTGTCTACGAAGTTGGAGGAGGAGTGGCGGTCGGGGGCAGACTCATGATGGGAATTGGACTTTGTGGGAGTGAGCTGCGACTCGTCCGGGGTCGGTGTGGTGCTGTTGTTCTCCCGGTAGTCTGAATGGTGTTGCTCGGGCTCGGGCTCATGGATGTCGATGCGCAAACTGTCGTCGTTGTCGTTGTCGTGATTGACACGGCGGGCGGTTGTTGGGCGTGAGGAGTCGTCGAGGCGGCTCCGGGGCCGACTCGCCTCATCGTCCATGGTGGAGTGTGGCTGGGCGACTCTGGAGATGCATTCGGCTGGTCGAGGGACCGAATTCTTTGTTTGGGTGTTGAGCAGTCGATGGTAGGTCGTTTGGCGGTCGAGGTCGAGAAAAGGTGGCCGGTTGGGGGCGGTTGTCCAATGCCGTCGAGGTTGTCGAGTTATCGAGTAGTGTGGGCTAGGCGCGATGTTGCGGATTCGCTGACAGGGTCAATGGGCGAAGCAACGACGGTGATCAAGCTAGAATGTGTCAAAACCCAGATCTCTTTTTTTTTTTTTTTCTTCCTCTCTTTGCTTCCTTCTTCTCCTGACGACCCAGTCCAGTGTCTGTGGTGTGGTGCTTGTAGCACTGACTGCAGCGACGCGGCCTGGCCTGGATTGACTGGATTGGGCTGGGCCGGGCCACTCACACCTGCCTGCTGCTCATTTGGCTGCATGGAACGGGAGGCATGCGCACGTACCTCTTTCTTTCAGTGTTTTTTTTTTTCTTCACTTCTGCATCCACCTCACTCGATGGCTTGAGTTTCTATGTTCGTAAACGCCGTGGCCAATACCAATGAAGGGTCCCTGTCACGAACCAGTCAAACAAAATGCCAAATCGCGATTGCATCGGCCGTGGTCCCTGCCTGCCGTGCCTAGCTGCCCGCCCATCTGTCTGCCCGCCTTCCTCTTGGCTGAATCGACTGGTTGCTGGGGCACCCGCACTAGCCCGAAATGAGAAAGGTGGGGGACCCATCCCCCTGACCAAGATCGCCGGATTGGTCGATTGAAAGATTAGCCAGCTCATCGGTTCGGAAAAGAGTGCTACCGAAGAGCGACACCAGACCCAGTTTGCTGTCCCGCGCGAAGCCACGCGCACAGACCCCCCCCCCCCCCCCCCCAGCCGCCGGTGCTATCCCACGTCGCGCATCTTGTCGTGATCCTGCCGCAACCAGCTACTGTGTGTCATTGGTGGAGCGTCACTCCTTCGGTCCTGGTGGCAGATGCAGGCAATAGGGGAAGGAGCGAACCGACCATCAAACGCAACAAACCTTGTATTGGCGATACATAAGCAGCATTCACATGGTCGCTTGAGGTTTAAGTATGATGGTAGTATAACACCTAGGCTTATGATACATATTGACCACTGATACTTGCATCAACGGTTGTTCGCTAAAGTAAACATAATTCCTCATCACATAATTGACTCAAGCTCCAAAAGTTTCAGTGAAATAGTATTATTGATCTTGACAATTCCGGTTGTCTATTAATCCATGTTTCAATTCATATTACGGGTCGTGTCCATCATACATCATAACCGTCTAGTTGGAAATCTTAGGGTTGCCCTTCTTGCTACACAAGAACAGCTGTCAACAAAATCCTTCCAGAGTGCTATGTAGGTCACTTACCCAGTCACCTTCTCGTACATGTTGCGGCCAGCATCGGTGATCTTCTCATCCGTGCTGCGGGGCATGTCGTGGCCGGCCTTCTTGGTAACGAAGTCGAAAGCTAGGTAAGCTCCGTCAGTATGTGCTGTAGACAACATGGACGGCATTGGGTGACATACCCTTGTCGACGGGGTCCTCCTTTGACTGACCAGCAGCCTGGGCCTGGTTGTTGCTGCTCTTGAATGGGTTCATTTTGATGGTACGTGTGGTGGTTGAGATTGTGAAGTGTTTGGTATGTGTAATGTTGGTTGACTGCTTAACTGTAACTAGTAACAATATTGGATAACGCAGGAAACCCCCCTTCTTATGTACGATTCCACCACCTCCAATCTGCACCCAAAAACCTGCATCAAAACGACCTTTCATCATCGCCCCTCCCCCGCCTTCCCCATCGAACCTTCGCAGTGTTCCCACCATGACGCTAATCGCCGCAATCCCGGGCCCCCTCCAGACGCAGATTCCCAGTTTCGGAGCGCCGCCAGACCATGCAGACCACTACGTCATCGCCAAACTACCGTCCGACCGTCGATCCTCCCAACCAACGCACTTGGTCGGAGAAAACAAGCTTGATCAGCCTCACAATGCATGCATGCCAGTCCTTCCTCACAGCAAGCCGCCCGCCCCTGGAGAATGTCTGTCACTGCTACTATGAAAAGAAATGCCAAGACCAAGGGTCCTCACCCATCCACGGCCCTTCCTGCGATAATCATGGATGGAGGCAGATAAGAGCATTGCCGTGTGCCCTTGTGCATCTACTTGGCCCGGCAGTTCGGCATCCCTCAGGTACGCCCCAGGCCGGGGAGCGCCGCCGGGATGTGAGACTTATCTACGTCAGTCGGGCCGGGCGTAGGGCCCCAACATGTGACGATGATGGAAGTTAGTCGTTGATCCAGACGGGAACGGTTCATGCGCTGACGGACTGTCAACCGACGGTCTTTCGTCTGATGCTACGGGATTGCGTCAGTCGTTGCCCTTTGCCAGGCAGACGCCGGCAGGCCACGCAGTCGCATATCATCACGTAACACAACTTCAACATTATCTAGTACCTTGTCATACAGATGGTGGTCCGTCTATCTTTGTCATAGCCTCGTCGAAATCAGAAAAAGGTGTCCGGTGCTCGTAGACACCGCCGTATATGCAGTCGAAATCAAACCAAACGAAACGCCGCCGCCATTAAGCCGTCACACATGGAGCCGCTGCAAATGCTTCCGCCGTCAAGCAAGCTCAGTCCATCCAAAAACTGTCAGAAACCGGCTGGTGACTGCGTCCTCACGATGCGGCAAAGACCTGGAACGCCATCACCATGATCCAGACCAAAAACAACGCCCCGACCAGCGCAAAAGAAAACACCGCCTGCCAGGCTTGACCTACACTCACAGTCAGCAACCACCCAGGCGAGACTTGCGCACGCTGGAAAACCTACATATACTCCTCTGCTGCAGCCACGCAAGGGTATCCAGGCTCTGGCCCGTCGGGTTGCGGTTGAACACGGCAAGGTTGCACGTACTCGAGACCGACCCGTCCGGCCCCCAGAGCTGGATGCTCACGACCACGAGGCCGACAAACCACAGCACGAACAGGATGAACGCGCCAATCATGACGATGGCGGGTAGCAGGCGGCGCTGGTAGACGAGATAGAGCAGCAGGCCGATGAAGATGATGACGAGCGACGCGACGGTGATGTAGTAGGGGAAGTACCTGCGACCGTCAGCATTGCGCCCGCAGCAGCGCATGGGGAGGTTCCCGTCACGGACCATGGTATCGGCAGGAGCAGCTGGTTCTGGATCTCGATAAAGGACGCAAAGACGCCGATGATGAGGCACGACGCGACGAGCATGATGAGGATCCAGAGGTTCAGCTGGATGCCGGGCCATTGGTAGCTGTGGACCCGGCCGACGAAGCGGCGGTCGTAGTAAGAACTACTCGTGAGTGTTGATGCGGCCATCCTCGCGGTGGTCTATTGAATCGTTGCGCTTCTTCGTGCGGTCGTAGATCGGTTTTCGGGGATCGCGTACGTGCTCCGCTCTGTTGATCGTGATTTTGGACGTCGTTGGTGGCTTTGTTGCTTCGTCAATCGGGTCCGGTTCGCCAATCCGTTGCAGACTCTGAAGATGGTCCCGTCCCTGCCGCAATTTGCACAGTGATAAAACGCGCAGGCCAAGTTAAGATAAAATCGGGAGGATGCAACCCAAGATGGGCGAGCCTCACAATAAGGCAGAGCGACGCTGTATGGAATGATGCGATGCGGTCGCAGCGTGGTGCTCCTGGACGTGCCACGTCAAAAAGAGAAAAAGAAACGGCCGACAGGAGCGCGGGCTGCTGCGACGGCGAGGCTCTATTCCAGTCTGGGCTGCACCGCTGAACCGCTGAACCCCCCGGTCGCCGTAGTGTTGCGTTGTGTCGGGCTGCGACGGCAATTCGTTCGATCAGGGTCGCTCGCGTCTCGCCTCACCTCGGCGAGTGGCACTCGTAGCTGCAGCCCAACGCAGGTGAGATGCGGCAGGCTTCGATGGTGATGGTCTCTTGCTCGGCTTGGCTGGATTGCGGCGAATGTCTCGGGTGACGTCGCGTCGAGTCGCGTCTCCTCAAGCTTCGAACGGCGGGGCGAATTCAGGAAAATAGGTGATGAAGTGTAGGTAACTTGGCATTTACCAATTTGTTCGGTAGCGCTGTTGCAACCCCAAATAACTGCAAAACGGTCACCGCAACAAACGATCCAGAAAGTTCCTCTACCTGCACTCGAACATCATATGATTCTGCCCTCAGAAGGTTTTCTCCCCTATCGCACGGATGCTGCAAATGAGGTGGCTGGGCGACGGACCGCATACAAAAATGGCGATGGCTGGGCGCCTGTACGGATAGAGCCAGTCGGCCGCCTGGAAGCGGCCCCCGACAGCGCACACCATCAGGGCCAATGCCATGTCCGGGCCCGAGACCCACTGCTCCCCGCAGCCGGGGCGCATCCGAGCCGCTGCCACCGCTGCCACCGCTGTCACCGCTGCCTCGTGAGTGGGTTGGGCGTGCTGGACAAGTCAAATCAAAAAGCTTGGTACACACGGCCTGTCGGGCTCCCATACATCTGTGGAACTCAAGTGCCGCATGGAGAGACGGATGAATTGGCATACAATTCGCCTGTCGCGTGGTATTATTGATACTTTTCTGTACTTCCACATCTCTCTCCGTTCATCTCAGGTGTTTTCTATCTGCCATAGACCCTGTCTGCAGCCGACTTTGGCTGCCCTCTGTTCTTGTTCAACAAGTCCTCCTCTATCTTATTCTATCGCTCTCAAAACAACAACCCGACGCCTACAGCAACGACTCTCCCAAAGCACACCTTACGAGCGAGCATCCTGCCCGAATCGTCTCGCTTGCACTGTCGGCCGCCAGCTGCGGGTTGACTTCCACCAGATCCACCGCCACGAGGCTGCCCGTCTCATGCACACACTCGCAGATGTAGTCGCCCTCGCGCAACGTGAGGCCGCCGCGGACGGGCGTGCCCGTGGACGGCGCCCACTGGGGATCCAGCGCGTCCACGTCGAACGACAGGTGGATGGGCGTGTCGGTGCCAATGTGCGCGAGCGCCATCTCCATGACGCGGCCGATGCCGTAGCTGTACCATGACCAGTCAGTCAATCATCGCCCAGTGTGGCGTCACAGCCTGCCGGAAGAACCTACCGGTCAATGTCAAACATGCTAAACGCCTTGATGCCGTTTTCCCTCAGAATCCTCTTCTCGCCGGCGTCGACGTCTCTCAAGCCAATGTAGACGAGCTTCTTGATGTTGAGCATGTGCTCGTCGCCGAGCCAGCCAAAGTATTCGGGCTTCTCCTCCTTGGCGAGGCCCGTCACGAAGGCGACGGGCATGCCGTGGATGTTGCCGCTGTCGCTCGTCTCGGGGGTGTTGATGTCGGCGTGGGCGTCGACCCAGATGACGGCGATCTCGCGGCCGAGACGCTCGCGGGTGGCCTTGGCCGAGCCGGCAATGGTGCCGATGGCGATGCTGTGGTCGCCGCCGAGCGTCAGCGTCAGACGGCCGAGGCGCGACTGCTGGTAGACCTGGTCGGCGATGCGCTGGGTCACCGAGGAGACGGCCTTGGGGTTCTTCATGTTGCGGAACGGCGGGTCCGACTCGGGGATGACGTCGGTGTACGAGTGTACCTCGTCGTCGCCGTGGAGCTTGTACCCGAGCTCGTCGCGCAGCTGGGTGATGAGGCCAGAGTCGATCAGGGCCTTGGGACCGGCGTCGACGCCGAGTTTTTGCTGGGGGCGGGGTTGTCAGCTACCGGAGAAACGAGGAGCAGAGACGGGGAACAAGCAAGCTTACCTGGCCACCCGAAAAGCCTACAGCGACGATGCCGAGATCCTCAGGGTGGCTGAGGAACTTGGACTTGATCATGGAGGTGTGCATTGTGACGGGGAAGAAACGACAACTGGGTATCAATGGAAGAGGGACGTCTTGCAAAGGACAAAAAGAAGAAGGAGGAGGGAAAGGATGTGAAGGGGAGCAATGCGTTTTGGGCGTGGAGGAAAAAAGGAAGAGGGACAAGAGAAAAGAAGGTGGCACTCGAGGCATCTAAATCCTTTTCCGTCGTGCCCTCGGCGCCGGCGGCAGCACGACGACGGCAGCGACACGACGGCCATGAGACCTGACTTGGGGCTTGACTCGGCTCGTGGCGGTTGCGGAGATTCAGAAGGCGCGTGCCATGCATCCATCCCGGACGCAAGTGGCAGAGAAGCAGCTGTGCTGGAGACAAAGTGTGTGTGCCTCTTACACGCTTCAGTTCCAATCCAACGCATTCGGAGCGGCGGCGACGGCGGTGCGTGGTGGATGACACCAGCCCAGCGTTCCAGCAGTCCCTCAGGTGGGACCCTCGCCGAAACCCCACCGCGGGTAGACCTGCACTTAGGGGAACATCAGTGGAGCTGCCTCCGTGGCTAGCGGCGCCGACGGGCGACGACCCCGCTGGGGGCCGCTGGAGACCGCTGGGGCACCTGCACTTAGGGGTCTGGCGCGCCCGGAGCTGTGCCACTTAACGGCAGGTGAGCCCCGAGCGTGCGTGCGAGGCATTATTTAAATAGGCCCGGCGCCCCCCGTCCCACGTCCATCGCGAGTTGGTGATATCCCTAATGGCAGGGCGACCCGAAGTATTACACTCGATAACTTTGCGCACACCGTCCGCCAGGAATTGTTGGGAGCACACGAATCAGCCGGCCCCCTCCCTCCCTCTGCTTCGTGTTCCCGGCTTCTCGTCCTTCATTTTCTCTGCTCGTCGGCTCTGTCGTCGCGGTCGGCGAACGGCTGCTGTTCGACGCTGCTCATCGACATGCCCCCAAAAGTGTCGATTTCTCGAGGTTCGCTCTGGGATTCGTTATCGCCAGCCTTATCTTATCGATCCCCAAGCGCCTGGATCTCTCGCTCATGTGGGATTACCTCAGCAATCTTTGCTGCCCAGCAAATTGAGGCCCTCCACCACACCAAAACCGCATCGCGAGGCCAGCCCCACCAGCCATGTACATCACACATCACAAACTCCACGTTACCCCCCAGCCCCGAGCGACGACAGGCTCACATCAGATTGAATCTCACCAGGCCGTCGGCTAAGCCGTATTCATCCAAGCGGCCACACCGCAGCTTTCAGTTCCGGCATTCACGCCTGCATGCCGTTATCAATCAGCTCCACGGCCAACTCTCTCGAAGGTCCCATGACGATGACGCCCATCCTCATCTCCCGGCACAAACCGGAAGCCATTGCAATTCTTGTTCTTCTTTTCCCCCTTCCCTCCACATTGTGATCACCTTTTCGTCTCTCTTGGATCGGATCCTGTTCCCCTCTTCTCATCGGATAGGGCCTGGCCATCACTTCTCTGCACGTCCAGACAATGACATGGCAGCATCCCTGGCGTTTACGTAAAACTTCGCATTCTCGAAACTAGTGCTGCTGCCTCACTGCCTCGCAAGCGCCACGATATTATTAACCCCGTGGCCTCGCCGCCGGCGACTGCTGTTTGAAGTTGCATCAAGTGACTGTCGACGAACAAAGCATCCTACGCAGACCCCATCGCTCACGACCGGCTTCGCTCGGCTTCCCTCGTCCGTGTCGGCGGCTTCAGCCGGCATCTGCGGATCAAACTCCGAGTCGCCTCTCTTGATCTAAATGGTGTCACGTACGTGAACTAAACGCGAAAGAACATCAGACATGGTTTGTTACTGTCTCTGTTGTACACTGTACCTGATGATGTGGCCCATAGCCCTCTTCTGATTCCCCATTTTGTAATGCCCTGGTATCCGTAAACAAAACCGCACCCGAACGCGTGAAGTTACAAATCCCCATTCCGTCAACTCCCAAACGCCATTTCCAAGTCCCAGCTCATGAAAAGTACCTGCGCCCATATCTTGCATCATGTCGCCGTGCTCTCCGCCAGCAAGTCGTGGACCCAGCCCATCCTCTCTCTTCTCTCGTCCGTCACGCGCGCGTACTCGAGAAGCAGCCGCAGCGTGTAGATCTGCATGTCCTCCTTGCGCAGCGCCTTCTCGGCCCATGCCTTGCCGTCCATCGCAATCTTCTCCGCCTCGGCATCGTGCGCGGGCCTGTCGCCTCCGTAGCCCAAGAAGTACTCCATGATGCCGTAGTAATCGTTAAAGCGGCTGTCCATTGGCACGAAATGCTTCCACGCAACCAACCGGCTATCGTGCCACTCGCGCCAAAGGGTCGCTTTGATGGGCAGACTCGTGCTCCCCAGGAATGCCAGGTACCGTCCGGAAAAGCTGTTGCCGTCAATGTCGGGGAGGTACTTTGAGTCGTACATCTCGGTGAGCATGACGCCTTCCGTGACGTTGAAGTGCGGGCTCGTGTAGTTGCAGGTGCCGGCGGGGCCCTGCGGCTCGCACATCAGATCCGTAAAGCCCACGTCTGCCCAAGAGCCTATCCATTCGCCGAGACTGTTGATGGCCTGGGCCGCGAGGTTGTACATCTTGTCCGGGAGCGAAAAGTTGACGGGGTCCATGGTGCCGTCCTCCGCGCCGGCGACCTTGGTCGCGTTGTTCATGGCGACAAAGCGGTGACGCTGAAATCCCCTCCAGTTACTGACACGGTTGCGCCCGCCAGTTGCAACGCCGCGCCACATGACGGCGTCCTTCTTCCTGCTCCACGGCCCACCATGGTACCCGCCGCCACTGAAGCGTTCCTCTTCGGTCCAATACATGGCTGCGGGGAGAAGAATCTCGTTGTTGATGGCCAGCTTGGACCCCCCGAACATGGGGAAAAGGACGGTTGTGGCGGAGGTGCTGAGGGGCTCGATGAAGATGCCATTGAGGCCTTGGAGGTCAGGTTGGTGGCAAATTTCGGTCGACATGGTGTAGTTCGCGACGAAGCCATCTCGCATGTGGGCTTTGGAGTATTTGGTGCCGATGCCTGGGGTATGGTCGAATGATTTTTGAGTCGCTGCCAGCCGGGCAGGGCTGTCTGGAGGACATCCGCGACGGGCAATGAGCCAATACTGTTCTGGAAAGAGTTAGTCTGAGACAGATCATCGATTCGATTGCCGAGGGGTGGCACGTACTTGTCTCTTCCCAGTGCTTGCTCTTGACCTTTACATTCCGATCAAGCTCCTTCTTATTGTTCGGCAGCGCCTGGAATGTGTTCATGACCTTTTTCGGCTCGGGCATCCCCTCCGTCAGGGCAGCGTCACGCATGTACTGAGCCATGTCCTCGTAGGGCACCACCATGCGGGGCTCGTCCATAGGGTTGAGAGCAATGTCCATGTCGGGAAGCAGGTGCTCGATTGTCTTGATCATGTTCGTCCAGTGGACAGTCCAAAACCACTCGCTGATGCGGGTGGCGCGACCCTTGCGTACCTTGATGGTCATCTCGTACTCGGCCGCCTCCTTGCGGATGCGCGAAGGCTCCATGCCCCAGAAGGGGCGCAGGTCATGGTAGATTTGATCGAAAAAGTCCTCAACGATGACGGCCTTGCGCTCCTGGGCGAACTGGAACCAGGCGTCGAAGCCGGGCGGGGGGTGGCGACCACGGCGGTCGCGGTAGGCCTTGGCGGCTGCTGTGAGAGTCTTGGACTCCTTCTTCAGTAGACCATTGAACCTCTCGTCGGCTTCCTTGATGAGCGTATCGATAGGGTGCGACCCTGTGGCGGCGGGGTGCGTCTCGGCGGGCTTCTTGGGAACGGCGCCCTCAGCTTGGGTGGGCTCGTCGTCGATGGGGTGAACAGGCTTCGGCGCGGGCTCGGGGATAGGCTTCTCGGCGTCATGTTGTGTATTAACCGGTGGGATGGAATCTGGTTTTTGAGGAGGTGTCTGTGGCCTCTCGGGCTGAAGCTGGGTCGTGGGGATGCCACGGGAGCGAGGGTCGAAGTAGTAAAAGAGGGCCAAGACGAAGACTGCGGCGATGGCGTATCGTAAGAGGCTCGAAGGGCGTCGCGGCGGGAAGGCCGCGGGTGATAGGAGCTTGACCATGGTGGGCTGCTTCGCGGTCGACGATGTTCTTGGTGAAGCGAGAGCGCAAATTGGTTGGCGCCAGCGTTCGTCAGGTTGGTGACGTACGAGGTGAGCCCGGTCGAGGGGTTGTCCCTGGCGGCTGGCTCAGCCAGGCCAGCTTTGAATGCACCTCGCAGCAAAGGGGCTTGACCGGCCTTGAGGTAGGTGAAGGCCTTGAATTCGAGTCGAGATGTTGGGAAGGGGCGCGGCGGAAGGTTGTGGGATTGTAGGATCGTTTACTTGGTCGGATCGTCGGAAGGCGGGCGTCGATTCGGGTATGGTGAACGGATGACAGCAGGAAGCTTGGCTCGTGGGAGTGGAGGGCCTAGACGAGAGATACGGCAGGAGCGGCAATGACGAGCGCGAGGAGAATGGGCGCGGAGGTCGTCAGGTCCAGTCGGAGGTCTGGGCCGTGCCAGAGATGTGAAGGAGGAAAAAAGCGATCAAAGAGCGAGGAGGTCGAAGCGGAGAGCGCGCGAGAGAGAGAGAGAGAGAGAATGAGAAAACACGATCGGCGGACGGCAGGTGGAGTTGTCAAAAAGAAGGGGAGCCGTCCATGCCAGGACGTGACGAGCAAGATGCAGGAAGAAAGATGGCCGCCAGATGCAAGACGCGGTCTTTCTCGAGCAAGCCTAGTGTGGTCTGGGCGGTGCAGATGACTTGGGGTGATTGATGATGGAGGCGCTGCGTCGGGAGCGTATCTTCAATTAGACAGATACACCACTGGCACCACTGTCCTGTCACATCTTGAGATACCTTACCTTACCTTACCTTACCTTACATGGCCTCTTTACTGAGTACCGCCTCCACGTCTTGTTGCTGCGCAGTGGATCCTGCATAGCGGGAAACCCGCAAACGCCCACGCCAGTTTCATCTTGGATGCACACCAACTACTGCATAGTACACGCACTTGAGAGCCACAGGAGTTGCTTAGCGGCTTATCTAATCATCTGAGATTCCCCAGGCCCGGCAGGAGGGACTTGAAAGGGGCTACATTACGCTACCTACCTTAGGTATAGGTACCTTAGCCTTAGTCGTCCGTCTGTGTCTTTGTTCTGGGTCGATGCCGCCTCTCCCTGCCTGAGATGAAGTCTTGACGGGGTGATTGGTGCAGGGCAATTCAACGTACCGGACCTTACGTTCATAGGACACTGTCAGACAATCAAAAACTACAGGAGCCAAGCTTCAGCCACAGAGACGGACGGCAACGCGGACAACCATGCCAATGCTGTCAGAGACATGAAGAGCTCAGGGGTTACCTGACCTGCCTAACTACAGGTATCCATGATACTTCGTAGCACTCACACAGCACTGAGGCACCTGCACTATTGACGCTAGGCCCTTGCAGCTCTCGTGGCGGCTGTCCCAGCCCGCACAGGCGTCTGTCTCTCTGCAGGTCTCGGATGGTCTGGGCTCTCTCTGCTCTGTCGGCTCCCGAACGAAGGGGCCTGCGAAACAGAACATTGTCTCTACCTGCCTGCCTATGCCACTGTTTCTACCGCCCGTCGTGGTGGTGGTGGTGTGCATCTCTACTCCAACATTTGAATCTTGTGAGACTACAAATCTCAACTCTGCCTCCCTACATCATCAGCCTCACCTCTCCTCTCCTCCCTCTGTCTCCGGCTCACCCGACTTGGACACGCAACGTGGCCATTACCATTGGATGATGGATGGATGCCCGACGACCCTCTGCCCTCCCGCAATGCGCTCAGTCTCATAGTGTACTGTCACTTGTACCTATCCCATCCACTCCTCCACCGCCATCACATCAAATCACCTCACCTCATACAGATGAACATGCACATCGCCCGTCGCGTCCCCATTTCCCCATCCATGGCTTCTTGTCCATTCCAAGTCATCAACCTTGGCTGAAGCAGTGGGGCCTGCCCACGCTCCTTCGCGACCTCCAATTGAGATCCAACAGTGAGCCGAGATTCAGACGCCTTTGCACCGCTACCCCAGTCTTTTCCCCTTCCACCGGCAGATTGCCCCCGCCGCAGACCTGACAGAGCCGTCCCTTCAAGTTTGAGAACCATCTGCCGTCGCAACTCGCCGTGGATCCCATCATGGCTGTGCTCGTCCAATCCTTGATCCGTCCCTCAATTATTGCGCAAGCCCTCGTCAATCTGCTTCTTGCTCAAATTTAATCAACGCTTTTCGCATGCAGATGAGCCTCACCGCACCCACCGGAAGTCGAACCCTCCCAACCATGGAACATTACTCTCATCAAACCGAGAATCCTCTGCTTCGCACATACGCGTTCATTGCCTGTCCGTTTTTGACCAGACAACCCCTGTTCCGTTTGCAGATTATGTCGTCATAGCCTTCGAATCCTTATCCATCCTGTGACTTGATCGCATTGGGCTGCCACCGACAGATTTTGCAGAATGTGGAAATAATTTATTGATTGGCGATCTTATTTTGGTATGTGCAGTCGATCGCGTCAACATCCCCATGCGAGGAAAGTGTGTCTATGGTAGTCTACGTTGTATCACGGCCTACTGCCGCATCTCCGAAGTCCTCAGTTCAGAGCAGCCGCAGCCGAGAAACTACTCCCAGCTCCGACGTCGTCATCCTCATCCTCCGGCTCCGAGCTCTCCGTAAGCCGGCCGATCAGCTCCTCATACCGCGGTCGGAAAGGCCATGACATGAAGGCCTCCAGCAGCTCTGCCCACTGCTCCTGATTCATCATCCGCGGGCACAATTCCGCTTGTCCCGACCCGGGCAGGCCGCCCCGCGCCGGATCCCGCAGGCTCGGGCAGTGCGGCAAGATGCCGTCCGACGCGCCGGGCCAGATCCGCTCGAGCGCCTTGCTGACGGGGTCGAGGCTTGCACCCATCATCGACCGCTGGATGAGTTCGAAAAGATCGCCTGCTCTTGACGACTCAGGCCCAATCTCCCTCAGCAGCGGGTGCATCGCCTTGGGTTGAATGTCAAGCAGCGTGCAGCCCACATTCGGGTAGAACTCGTTTGGCTTGGCTGCTATGGGCTCATATGGACGCTTGTCCCAGAGCAGCACCGGGGGGTCTTGAAGGAAGATGTGCGCATTGTCCTTGACGAGTCGAAAGTCGATCTTTTCGTTCTTGTTGAGAGCCATGACTTTCTCGTTCCACGCGCGTTCACGCTCCGAAATCTCTTTTTCGGGGACGCCCTGCTGGCGCAGATGCCCAAGGTCGTACAGCTCATCCAGGAGGGCCTTGTACACCTCAGGCTCGGCAGAGTGCTTCTTCGCCATAGAGCGCAAGGTGACCAGCCGCTTGAATTTCTTCAGGTCTAACTCCTTGGTGATCTTGCCGCTCTTCTCCTCTGCTGCCAACTCTTCCAGCTCATCGAGGTATGGTCGGTAAATGTCTGGCGGCATGGTCCCTGCGTACCGCTTGCCACCGGCAACGTACGGTTCCGCCCGCTTGGTGCTCTCCATCTTTCGACCCTTGGGAATCGCCATTCCATTTTCCTTCATCCGCGCGAGCGTGGCCGTCGTGCTGTCCACATCGATCCATCTGTCTCTGGCGTACCATCCCGACTGCTCAGTAACGTCGGGGACGGCCACTGGGGCGATCCATTCGCATGTAGCTTCAGCTTCCATAGCAACCTTCTTCCTCGCCTGTATAAACTTCGGCAAGATGGACTGGTAGTCGTCTGATCCGGTCCAGACAAGCATTCGCACGAGGCCGTACTTTTGGAACAACTGGCCGGTATGTATGCTGTTCAGCAACTGAAACAGAACGAGTCCCGCAATCGACTCGAAGTTTCCGTATCGCTTCTTCGGGAAGAGCGACAGATTTGCCGTGACCAGGAGCGTGTCGTTTCGCTCCGGCGTTATGCCAGGCCCCTTGGGTCGCGGTATCTGGTTATCAACGTGTGCCAGAGCAGAGCCCAGCTCGTTCCATAGTAGCCCAGAGCTCGGTATCAACTTCGTGTTCGGTCGCGCGAGGAGCGGTTCGAGAAAAGACTTGTAAAGGCTCGCATCCGGTTCCATTAAGATGTGTTGGCGAGGCTTGAGGACGTCGTGGAGTTTGCGGCTCCAGAGGCCTGCGCCAGGGTTGATGTCGACGAGATCGCAGCCTTCATGGCGATTGAGGGTCGGGCCGATGTACTTTAGGATGTCGTCTGCGGTTGCTCGGGTTAGAGGTAAAAGAGAAGTGACGGCAAATTTCCATACCGCATAATTCATCGCCGACAATGTTGACGCGTGCCCTGTCAGCATCGGGAAACTGATCTGCCAGTCCCCGTGCCCCGCGACGACCCTTTCGCGTCGCCTGTGTTTCCCAGACGCCCGTTTCCGCCAGACGAGTAGCCGCAGGTGATGTTTCTTGGAGAATAGAGGCCGATAATTTCGATTTAGCGGTCACTCTCTTGGTCTTCTTGGTCGCGCTCGAGGCGGATCGTCGAGGAAGTGTTCGGTCTGGGTGGATGAACAACCATGGCGACACAGCTGGCCGATGACGCAGATGCCGAAAAGTGAGTAGCATCGGCAGGGGAATGCAGGCACACGTTTTGTTGTGTTGGTAGAGTTTGTCCCGGAGAGCAACGATTGATGGAATGATTGATTGATGGCTGCGGGGCAGAAATATTCTCCAGCAGGTGTGCTGATAGGCGATAAGCGACGCCTGGCCGTGCGATTGCATTCCTTGCCTTTCCCTTCAACAAGATCACCCGTGTCCGCGTGCATTGATTGACACGTTCCGGCGGCGCAGAAAAAGTTGCCGTCGCTACTCGCATGATACATTCATTATATGAGATGTCATTTCACCGTTGCATCAACGGCTTTGAAGCCCATTGATCCAAGCGGCACAGTTTCATTTTCATCGAAGTTGCAATGCATATAGATTTCCATCTTATCAGACCAATACAGCTTCGTGATACCCAATCCAAAGGATGCAGGGACACATGTACACTTTGACGAGGAGACTTGATAGCAGACTTTTTGATACCTTTGCCCATCAATAACGGCTTTGGAAACTTTCAGCTACGTGACGCACGATGAGTCCACAGTCTATGACTCTGCTACTACTCGCATAGGCTTCTGGGAAGTAAGTGTGTGAACGAAAACAGAGGCTGTGTAGTTGATCCTCTCATCCCTGAACGGCTCAGCTATGGCAGGACAAACTAGTTGGATATGTAGTAGTTGCAGAAAGAAAAGTCCGAATGAGTGTGTAGCGCTCTTGTACAGACGCTGAGGCCAACATCTGAACTGAAGCCATCTATCTCCACGGGGTGCCTTTTGTTTCCCCAGATTCTCATCGCTTCACTCCACATAATTTTCCTCTAGGGTTTGCTCAGATGAGAAAGCGGTATGGCGGGAGATCGTTGTACTTTGGGACTTGCGACTATGGCCGCATATACGAAAGCCTCTGCTGTACATCATGTGGACGGGCGTCTTGACAGGTTCTTCGCTGTTCATGCTGGTCTGACGAGTTGCATCTGGGCATGCACCACTCTTCCCAAAATTGAACCCAGTGCTGACTTCACATTACATTTGTATCAAGCCCCAAAGGTTGGCCTTTCACATTGCCATGATGATCTGTGACGGGTCCGTCGCAAAGTGCTTTGTTGTTCGCCTCCACCCCGCATAGCCTTGCCTTACGGTCTTGGTGGCGGGTGCTTCTGGATCAAGAACAGCCAATCTTGCGTATTGGGGAGAGTTTCGGTTTACATAGGAAAATTGGGAACTGGAAATAGACATGTTGAAAGAGGACTGCGGCATTTCCTGTAATTGCCGCCACCAAGGTTTGAACGATGACTGCTTGCGAACGTTATGATATCAACTTTTAACCTCGCTGCTCTTGTCAGCCGACGTCTTCCAATTATAGAGAAGATGATCTAACAGCCTCAGGGCGCGTGTTGCGAGCAATCGAGAAAGGCCCCTCAGGAGAAGTCACTTCGTCTGCGGCGCGTTTGGCGGGCAGCTGTGTCTGCTAGATATGTCCTCTCCGCAAAGTTGTGGACTGTCTATCAGTCTCCTCCGCAAAATCCTGTGGTGGAGAAGTTGAATTTGGCCGAAAATCACTCCGCAATGCACTGGAATAGACTTTTTCTCGAACTTCCCTGTTGCCCCAGAACACAAACTGGGGTAAAAGTCATTTCGGTAATCCCGTTACATTAAGTGCAGCAACTGATCGAAGAAAACAAAAATTATTACTTCATAAGTACCACCCTTTTGACGGATCGACGACAGAATTGGGGAGCCGTACGCCAAGAGTCTTCTTATCCGGAACGTCCGTAGGGTTATAATCATCGAGTCGTGTCACCCCGCGAACTCCGTGGAGCACGGCGTGGAGCAGGCGCATTTAAGTCAGGCAAAGTCGTACGTAATTGTAAAGAGGCAGAATGTGTCCTCTAACCAAGTCACCGAACAACTCTCGTCATTACTTCTTCTGCAGACCTTCTCTCCCTTGAGCCAAGAGACATCCGCTCGTCTTACTAGACGCCCCGATTCCTGGGCAGCCATGGCCGACTACGAAGTAACTACCGAAAAGAAGAAGACTCACCGAGTCGACTCGAACGACACCGATGGTGAAGACCACCACAAAATTGCCACCGAGCCTGTCGATGTTTTCACCAATGAAGATGGCGACGTTAACTTCCGCGGCGTCTCATGGCCCGCGGCGGCCGTTCTTGTTGCGAAGTTCCAGCTGGGACTCGGAGTGCTGAGTCTTCCCAAGACCTTCCACACTCTGGGCTTTTTCCCTGGAATCCTCTGCTTCATAATTCTCTCGACTATGACAACCGCCTCGGGTTACATCTCCGGCAATGCGAGGCTTTACTACCCGCAAATCTATAGTGTCGCCGACGTGGCTGAGATGTTGTTCGGCAAGAAAACAAGGGAACTTGTCGGTTTCCTCTTCTACCTCTATCTCGCCTTGACAGCCGGCGCTGGCATGCTCGCCTCCTCCGTCGCCCTTAACGCGCTCTCAGGCCACGGCGCCTGCACTATGGTATTCGTGGCCGTAGCCGCTGCCGTTGCTTTTCTCATCGGCGGCGGTTTCAGAAGTCTAGACAAGATCGCCTGGGTCAGCTGGGCCGGTTTCGGCTGTATCTTCGTCGCTATCTGGACGACGGCTATCGCCTGTCTCGTGCAGAACAGGCCCGCCGCAGCCCCCCAGACGGGCACTATTGACCTCGATATCCGTATTTTCCCGGACACCACTTTCTCGCATGCAATGTCGGCCATCTCAAACCAGCTTTTCGCCGTTGGTGCTTCTGGGGTCTGCTTCTCTATCGCTGCTGAGATGAAGGAACCCAAACACTTTGGCCGCGCGCTGCTATGGGGCCAGGGAATTGTTATTGCGACTTGCATCGCCATCGCCTCCATCGTTTATTCGCAGGTCGGCCAGTACCTTGCCAGCCCTGCCCTCGGTTCTGCCGGTCCATTGATCAAGAAGATTGCCTATGGCATAGGACTGCCTGGTCTCCTTGTTACAGCTATCCTCTACAGCCACACTGCTGGCAAGTACTGGTTCGTCAGAATCCTCCGCGGTACACGCCATCTCCAAACCAGTACCGCCAAGCACTGGCTTGTGTGGGGAGGCTCGATGTTCGTCACTGTCGTCTTCGGCTTCATTATCGTGGGAGTTGTTCCCTTCTTCAGCGACTTCCTCAGTCTTGTTGGCTCCCTCGTCAACCCCGTATTCACACACATCATTCCCGGCTTCATGGTCTTGTTCTACGTAGCAAAGAAGCCTCCTATGGTTGGCTTGGATGGAGCGCACGCACATGAGCACCACTCTTCCCCGGAGAAGCATTGGCTTCTTGAGGCTAATGATGCGGCCAAGAGCAGCAAGAAGGACATGATTTTAGTTGTTGGTTCATGGAGTATGATTATTATTGGTGTCTTTATCACTGTGGGCGGCACGTATGCGACTGTTCTAACGATTAAGGAGGGTTATGATAATGGTTCTATTGGCGGTGTATTTTCATGTGCGGACAATTCATCTGGCTAAATAAGAAAATAAATAGTGTTTTTAGTTTCACTTATAGAACTATAATTCTACTTAGCGCTTTATCTAAGTTTTTATTTAAGTGAAATATAATCTTCAAAGAAGCTAGTAATTATTAATTTTAGAAATAAAGATAAATAATTAATTAATACTTTTAATAATTAAAATAAAACTATAATAATATTATGAATAAATCTTAACTTATTAGCAGTCTGGTTAACCTATATAAGTAGGTATTATAGTTCACTCTATACTTTTTTTTATAGTACTAAAACCTAATAGCAGCACTTTAACTTATGCCTGATCTTAATAAAGTAAATAAATAAATCTTAATATAACTAGTTATTAACGCTTAGTATAATATATCCTTAGTAGAAGAGCGCAGGTAGGTAGGCAGCAGAGCAGCAAAACATACTAGCGAGAGCGTTATTTGCAATACTATTATTTATGAGCGTGTTATTTATAATATAGCTAGAGCCTAGTGATAGCTTAAACTTATACTTAAGGGTGTAAACTTAATAGTATAACTCTTTACTACTATAGCTAAAAAGGTTTTTATAGCTATAGTATAAGAACTTAACTGTTTAAATAAAGCCTTAAGCTTATTCCTTATATCCTCCTATATATATAATAACTATAATATCTTTCCCCCTTATTATAACTACACGTAGGCTAAGTAAAGCTATACTAGACGATTTAATTTATAAGACTAAAGTTAATAAAATTAAGGGCTCTAAATATAATAACTTTATCTATACTAATAAGAAGACTCTACTTAAATTTACTTAGAAGTACTTACTTAAGATAGCTAATAAGTATAAGATATTAAAGTTATATAGCTTTAAGGTTAATATAGAGATAGTTAAGGTTACTAATAATAATTCTAATACTTATAATTACCTTATAGACTTCCTTAAGATAGCTAAGGTAGCCTAAGGGCTTCTTAGTAAGTTAGGAAGAGTGAATATAGCAAGAGTATAGCTAATAGCAGTAGGGCTGTTGAGACTACGCGGTAGGGTGGAAGACGTTATCTATCATAGCGCAGACGTCTGAATAGCAGAGGAGACTTGGAAGATAGGCGCAGATTAAATATAGCGTGAAGGGTAGGTGCGGCTTAGAGGAGCCTTGAGAGATAGAGGAGACTAATAGAGATAGAGGCGGCTAGAGGAAGATAGTTGAGGCTTATTATAATAGTTGAAGTCATAATATCTAAGTAGTCACGTAACCTAAAGGTTATTAGCAGAGAGTGAGGGGACCAGTCTAGCTTTTGCAGTTAATACTAGTTAAATTTCATAATATAAGGCTAGCAGCCTATAAATCTTAACTTAAAGTAGGTATAAAAGCTATTAATATTTAAAGCTAAAGCTAGAACTAATTTACTAATGATAAAGTAAATAAAAGTTTTAATTCTTAAAACTAATATTTAATTTTATTTTAAGTTAAATTTTACTTAAAATTAAATATCTTTATGTTATAATTAAGTATATTAAGTAATTAAATTATTATTCTTAATACTCTTTATAATTTTATTTATAAGTTATATTATATACTTAACAATTAAATAGAAAAAGTGTAAATAAACTAATAATATATTATAAATAATTTATATTATCTATATAAAGGTATAGTTTATACTATAGTATAAAGTATTTCAAAATACTAGTAAATAATTTTAATGTTAATAGTTATAATCCTTATATAGTTATATATTAATTATTAATATATAACTATTGTTAAATTTATATAATCTACTTAAATATAAACTTATACCTATAGCTTACTACCCCTTAAACCGGATTACTGGCCCAGCTGAGCTTATATCAACCTATTTTCCAGACATATCTTTTGAAAGTGTAATAGTAGGAAGAACACAGTGCATATTCCTACCCTCCTCCTAATGAGTGCATGGATGAAAAGTTGTGCCATCTGGCCCTACTATAATCTGTCTTCCGCGGCAACTATTCCGAGCTGAATTCAATCTTCGTTCCTCAACAATTGTATGGTTTGGGTTGAAACAGCTTCCGTGGTGACAGAGGTGAGAAACCTATACTAGGGTGTTCAGTACATGCATATATACATTATAGTAGTTTTCTTACATCATACTGGCCACACGTGGTGAGGGTCAGTGTGCAGGCCTCACCGCGGGCTACAATTGCTAGTTGGTGCAAGAAAGGCTGTATTCCGAGAAATCTTTCTGGAGCAACTGGATTTCGAGTGTTGCGCAAGTTGATCTTCTTGTATTCTTTATGAGATGGTGCCTGATGGTTGAACCAGCAACCAGTCTCTGATGTGTGGACATCATTCGTACGGATTTCCTCAAGTTTCTTCCAAGCCCACGTTTGAGGAACTTCGCAGAGAACTTGGATTGACTTGCTCTTCGTAGTGACTGATGAAGCAAGATGGCAAAGCGCCTCATAAGCCTGACATTGCGAATTCCGCGTTGATTCTGCACTAAACGGTCGTGCTGGAGGTGGTGCTTGCGATGAAGACATCACGATGCTGCATACTGTCATGAGAGATGTCAAATGGTTGTGAAACAGTCGGTGTACATATATGCAAAGCAATAGGCCACTGTGTCCCCTGTACTTATCCAGCTAACAGGGGGGACGATTAATTCAGACCCACTGCATTTTGTAGAGACAGAATCCTACCTAAGGTGATATCTCTAGAGGCTGTACAGAGTAACACCTGCGTAGAACTTGGGCTTTTGGATCCCTGAGAAGTCGCCTGTCTGATTGAGGCTTGGCTTGCTGTTGTTGATGAGATCGCGCTTGTAGGCGCTGGCGTTGGCTAGAACTTGGCGAACCTCCCACTTGGCAATCTCGAGCTTGGTTTTGATCAAGCCAGCCATTCCGAGGGAGGCGTCGATGCTACCCTCGACGGTGAGCTGGGGGCCGATGGTGGCGATGTCTGGGATCTTGAACGAGGCACCGGGGAATGGCAAGTTGAGAAAGACCTTCTTTTTCTCGTACGTCACGCTTCCGGCTGACGGAACCGGCGACGATGTTATCCCAGTAGTCGTCCTAATTGCTGTGGTCGATGCGCATCTGGGTGTTGCCGAAGTCGCGCGGCACGCGGCTGAGGTCGTATTCGAACGTCAAGTCGTACACGACAGGCTCGAGGCCGGCGAGGTGGGACAAGTGACGGGGCAGCAGCTTGGCGTGGTCTCTGCCAAGGGCCGGCGCCATGCCCTTGGAGACGGCATACTTCCCCGGGCCGCAGCTCCTGCGCATCTGGAGGATGGTTCCCGGGACGCCGTGGCCGAGGCCCATCTTGTGATAGTTGCTGCCCGGGGTGTGGTCGTTGCAGACCATGCGGGCGGTGCGCTCGCCCGAGGAGATGGAGTCGTGGCAGTCAAAGACGTCCCAGCGGGATCCGTCGCGCTTGCCAAGCGAGATCTGGAGCGCCTCGGGCGAGACGAGCACCACGCACTGGAACGCGGTCTCGTTCGGGTCGCCGTCGCCGTCGGCCGACGTCTTGTCCGTCTCAAGCGTATAATCCGTATCGGAACCGCCCTCGGGCGGGTGCTCAAACAGGTTCTTGAGGTCCACGGGCATGACAAGGGGCTCGCCGTCCGACTCGCAGCATAACGTGCGGACGCGCGTCGCGTGGATACCGCAGCTGTCGCTGCCACCAAAGTACGAGTCGGTGATCTGCACCGCCTTCATGTCTGGACAGTGACCGTCGAAGCAATTGCCCAGCTTGCCGTACCATGCGCAGTTCTTCTAATTCTCAACCTCCTTCTCAGGGCAGCACAACAGCTTCCGCGTGTCGAGGTCCAGCTCGTCGAGAACCTCAAGTGGGTACGCGCGGCCGACCACCCGCAGGATAATCTTAGCGACGTCGTCGAGGACGTCGAGGACGGTCCCGGAGAAGGTCAGAGGCAGCTCGCCGCTGTGGCACTGCTCGCCGACGCCGCGCCACTTGCTGATGGTCTTCTCACCGAGGGAGCTCTCGCAGCAGTGCGCCATCTGGCGGCCCCAGCAGTCGTGGCCGCCGCCGTAATTGCTCATGTGCGTCATAACCTCGTCGTCTTTGCAGTAGCTGTTGCACCATCTCGTCTCGCCGACGCGCCAGGTGCACGACTTGGGGTCAGGGACGCCCGACAAAGGGCAGCAGGGGGTGCTCTTCTGTTCATCGCCGCATTTCTGGTCGGTGATCTTGATTTCGCCCGCCTTGCCGTCTTCGACGCCGCAGCTGGAAACGTAGCAAATTTCTTTGGTGCCTGTCCAGTTCTCGTCGCCCTTGTCGATCGACTTGAAGTCGCGCAGGAGCTTGGGGTCCAACTCTGCTCGACCTGACTCACCAGCTGCTGTCATACAGGAACTTAATGTTGCAATTTTGGAAAAGACGTCAGACTTCTTGTTTGGAATACCGAGTGAAGGATTCCAGTTGTCGCCGCCGGACTAAATTGGGTTCGACGTGCTATTTCCCAGCAAATCACGCCCTGCCGTAGATCGATACTTGTCCCATTCGAGATTGAGCCACTCCTGCCGTCCCAGGCTTTCGAATAGACTCATGACCTCGTCGCTGGGCCTCCAGTCGCCAACCTGCCACTGCACCACCGGTAATGTTGGGGCTGCTGCAGCGGCATCGCTGTCCTTCTGGTCCTTATCATCGCGGCGGCCGGCAATGAATTTTACACCCCATCTGTGACCCTTTTTCATCGGCAAGCCATATTTCTCAATGTCTCTGTCGTTTGAAGGGTCCCACCACAGGTACGTGAACATCTCGGCGTCCTCGAGCCGCGGCATGTTAGGAGTAGTCAGAGACTTGGCGAACGCCGCAAGCAGGGGCTCCAGCCGCTCCCTGCAGGGCTCGGTGCGGAACATGTCTAGACGATAGTCATACTCGTCGTCCGGGTTGTCGCCGTACTGGTCGCCGAGTTCAACATCCTCGTCCGTGTCTATTTCGCGAGGGTAATGTTTGTCTGAGATCGTGTACCCTCCTTCTTCAGAGTCGTGCGGGTCCTCGCCACCAGGGCCGACAAAGTACCACCGCCC